TTTTTTGTCCCAAAAGCAAAACCAAGGATTTTAGGTAATTGTGAATTTTGGTAGTTGTGAAGTTGTAAAGTAATAGGAGCACCAGTACTTGCCTGCAAAGAGCAGCAAGTCCTCCCGGATTTGAGCTCTCCCAAATCTGAAAACCTTGGCCTGAGGAAGGAGCACCAGTACTTGTCTGTTGGGGGCAGCAAGTCCTCCCAGACTGTCTTTTTGGGGGGATGGTAAGTTCTGAGAGACTGTTTTGCCCCCAGTCCAAAAACCGTGGACTGAGAGTTCCCCCTGAGGGGCACATACTTTGAATAGGGAGCCAAAGTCTCCCCCAGACACCTTTTTCTGTCTGCAAACTGATAGCTTGTTGACCCGACTAAGCCAAAGTGTGAGAACCCCACATTGGAAGGGGAAACATGGGAAGCTGTAGTTCAAGGGTCCTGAGTGGAACACCCTTGGGCGTGTTGTTGGAGGCTTGGGATTGAAGGAAATAAATATTAAGTTACTCTTTATAATAGAATTAGAAATATTAGGTGCATTATTAAGCTGTGTTGTCTTTGTTGCCGTTTCCTAACCACAAAGTATGTTCAGTTAAACAAAACGTGCTGGATAGTTGCAGGCTTCTTAGAAAACAGGAACATCCGCCCAAGGCGAAGCTACACGTAAACAAGATAAGATATCTGGTGCCTAGGAAGAAACGTTCAAGCCGACCCTTTACCTTATGGCTTAGAGATAATAAGGGGAGTGGGGAGGGCTTATTAGGTGTGGCATGCATTGTGTAGAGTGTATAAAATGTATTGTTTGACCATTAGATCTTGCTCTTCTTGTACCCAATCCACTTTGGAAGAGATTTGAACGCCCGTTTGCAAACGCTTATTTTCTTTAATAAACCTTTGAATTGTGAACCAGACCTGTCTCTGTATTGTGAGTATTAAATAATTCGGGTCTTACATCTCACAAGATGAACGGCAGAAGCCGGTCCTAGCTGGTATGGAAAAGAGAAAAGGAAAGGAAAAAAAGCAAAATGTGTATGTAGATAATGGGCTTTGCCAAGGGATGCAGGAAGACCAATTTGGTTAAATAAAGGTACTTAAAAGGGCAATATAAAAACAGGACCACATGGGGTTTTGTTTGTTTGTCTGTCTTTTTCTCGGTCTTCTATGTAACCATGTAGTTTGTTCCTTCGGATTTGTGCCTTCCCCAATTTAACTGAGATGCATTGTGGGAATGATCAGTGTGTGTAAACTTCAGTTTTGTTTTTTTGACCGTGTGTGTGTGTGCCTGTGTGTGTCTAAGTCTTTGTGTCCTCGAGGTAAATGTTGCAATAGTTAAGTGTGTCTGATCCCTTCAGATATGAATTTTAAATTGTTAAAAAAGTTAAAAGCACCGAGAGAAAATGTCTTCTCCCAGGCTAGCCTGGCCAGCTGGACAGAGTGAAGAACACAGAGTTAAATTTTCTTTCCTCTCTGTGCTTTTAAGAAAAACCCAAGGTTATTAGCAAATGTTTTAAGTTCATTTACAAGGAAATTTTCATCCTTGCATTTACTATGTATATAAATGATTTTACCTGATCATTTTCCCCGAAGTATGTAAATCCAGTTTTTTTTCCTTTCTCATGTTATGTCTCCATTTTATTGAAATTGATTTATCTGTTTAGTAACTGCAATACTGATGTGTTGTTTTTTTTCTCAAACCCTGCCTGAAACTATCTACCCCCCCACCCACAGTCTCTAATTCTTTTACAATGTGTTTCCTGGTAGAATCACCAACAAAGGGGGGAGGGGACCTTCTTCTTCTGTCTTTCAGCCCTGCAACATGTGGAAACAGATGCTACCCTCTAGAGACATTGGATCTAGTCCTCCACTGAAAGTTATCACAGCAATCAGAGTGAAGCAGACCTTCCCAAGCCTGAGTGACCACCTCACTGTGACTGTGACTCACAAATGATGCTGCCCAGTTGGCCAGTAAAGCAGGATATGTTGCACTGGTGGTCTCATGAGTAGAAGTCCCAGGGCTCATTGTGTGTAATTTTAAAAATACTAAATAGCCTGGATTGCACACTAACCTCAATTTGGCCTCACAAACTTTGGAAGCTAGCAGGTAGTGACCATAACCTTGGAAATGGGCAGCCTGTAATTTAAAGGCAAACAATAGTTGTGAAGAATGTAGGGGCTTGTGCTTACAACCTGACTGTACGCTCACAAAAAAAGTACATCAAAACATCTGAAAATTAATCAACATGAAAAATTGGATACTGTAAAAAAAAAAAACCCGAGAACGTTTCCCAGGCTCCTAGATCTTCATGGTTGAAAGCTTTTGGGAGCCACTGAAGGAATCCTTTTCTGTTGCTTCTTTATCAATGCCTCCCCTCTTTGCATCAAAAAAATTAAAAGCACCCATCAAGGATCGGATCATCTTTTTTTTTTTTTTTTTAAAAAGAGGGGTTATAGGAAGTTATCACCTACCCCTCTCCTAGAAAAATGAAATATCCCAGGAAATATTAAAAAGGCAGAATATTTCCCCTAAAAAGAGTAGAAACTCAGAAGCAAAAACTCAGCCCCCCCCCCTTTGCTAATAGGCCATTACTCTGGCCTAGGCCAGCCTATTTTACATAACAAAGATCTCCAAGTAGAGCTATAGGAATTGCCCAAACCCCTTTCATTATATCATCATCCAGCAACGCTCAAGCAAGCCTGGGACTCAGGACCTACAGAGTTGCCCCTGCATGGCCCCATGGGAGTCTGATAACCAATCAGAATACAAGCTCAAACTCAAATCCCAACTGAGGGTATATAAGGGACTCTCAGCATGTCAGCCTTCCTTCTTTTCCTTCATTTTGAAGCATGCAATCTTTTTTTTTCACTTTGGAGCTCCAACCCATGTGGTCCTGTCCACCATTAAACAATCTTTACAAACAGCCTCCATGTTTCCAGTGTCTTTTTCCTCACTTGGAACTGAACCCAGAAGGATAATTCTTCCAACACACCTATAATTTTAATCCTGAGAAAAGTTTGAATATAAGGAATTAGGACAGAATTCAGTCAATTTCTCACCTACACTTTGTGACTGGAATATCACAAATGAAATTCAATCCTTATATAAACTCTTCAACTTTTGCCTCATGGATTTACTTGTGTGCACTAAGGAATGATTTATGCTTGAAGTAAAGATCACAGACTGGACATATGAAAAATTTCCCCATCTTTCCTACTGAAAGATTTCCCACAATGAGGACATTCAAAAGGGTTTATCATCTGTGTGAGTCATCTGGTGTCTAATGAGATGGGAATTTTGACTAAAACATTTTCCACAGTCTAGACACTCAAATGGTTTCTCTCCTGTGTGAGTCCTCTGGTGTATTTCCAGGCAAGAATTGTGACTGAAACTTTTCCCACAATCAGGACATTCAAAGGGTTTCTCTGCTGTGTGAGTCCTCTGGTGTATTACCAGGTAGGTATTGCAAATAAAACTTTTCCCACAAATAGGACATTCAAAAGGTTTAATCTCTGGTGTGAGTCCTCTGGTGTCTCATGAGGTCAGAATTCTGACCAAAGCCTTTTCTACAGTCAGGACATTTAAAGTGTCTCTCTCCTGTGTGAGTCCTCTGGTGTTTCACCAGGCTGGAATTATCACTAAAACCTTTTCCACAGTCAGGACATTCAAAGGGTTTCTCTCCTGTGTGAATCCTCTGGTGTATTACCAGGTAGGAATTCCGACTGAAACTTTTCCCACAGTCAGGACAATCAAAGGGTTTCTCTCCTGTATGAGTCCTCTGGTGTTTCACCAGGGTGGAATTCTGACTGAAACTTTTCCCACAATCAGGACATTCAAAGGGTTTCTCTCCTGTGTGTGTCCTCTGGTGTTTCACCAGGGTGGAATTAACACTAAAACCTTTTCCACAGTCAGGACATTCATAGGGTTTCTCTCCTGTGTGAGTTCTCTGGTGTCTCATGAGGCTGAAATTTGTAATGAAAAATTTCCCACAATTAGGACATTCAAAGGGTTTTTCTCCTGTGTGAATCCTCTGGTGTATTACCAGGTAAGAATTGCGACTAAAACTTTTCCCACAAATAGGGCATTCAAAGGGCTTATCTTCTGTGTGAATCCTCTGGTGTATTACCAGGTAGGAATTGCGACTAAAACTTTTCCCACAAATAGGACATTCAAAGGGTTTATCTCC